CCCACTCTCTCTCTCCGCGTTCCTCTTTTTTCTCTCTAGACCATTCAAAGTCTTGAAGAATTGGAAATAATGAACAAAAATGGACTTTGGAAGCTATGAACCAAAAGTTAAGGCAAAAATTTCACTATAAAATGAGGTAACCTAAGAGCATTGATATGAGCATTAGAAAAGGCATATTTTTCTTGTATTCCTATAGTTTCCTTTGTGTTTTGCTCTATCCATGGCTATCTTCTTCTCCAATGCTAATGGCCTCTCTACTTTCTTCTTATCTCTTCTTTGGCTACTATTTGCAAGCATGCATCTAACAAGTTAGTATCTCTCCCGTTCTTTCGTAAATGTTTGAACTTTATCGATTACGTGCGTACCATCTGATAATCGAGTAGGGTTTGAACTTTAAAATGTTATTCGATTCTATTTTAAACTTTAGATCAATGGATATGCTGAACAGTGTAAAACGTTTAACTGTGGCATTATTGCAGTTTCCTTGGCTCTCTCTCTCTCGTAAATGTTTAAACTTTATCCATTACGTGCATACCCATGTGACAATCGAGTCATGTTTGAACTTTAAAACGTTATTCGATTTGATTTTAAACTTCAGATCAATAGGTATATGAAACAGTGTAAAACGTTTAATTGTGGCATTGTTGCAGTTTCCTTGGCTCTCTCTCTCTCTCTCGTAAATGTTTGAACTTTATCCATTACGTGCATACCCATGTGACAATTGAGTCATTTTTTAACTTTAAAATGTTATTCGATATGATTTTAAACTTCAGATCAATAGGTATGTAGAATAGTGTAAAACGTTTAACTATGGGATTGTAGCAGTTTCATTGAATAATTGATATCTTATCTATCTGCTGAGCTAACCCTTTTACTCAATTTCATGCAGGTGCTCAAATAGGTGTGTGTTATGGACAACTCGGAAACGACCTACCATCTCCCGTGGAAGTTATCGAGCTTTACAAACAAAACAACATCCAAAGAATGCGACTTTACGCTCTAAACCATCCTACTTTCGACGCTCTACGAGGCTCGAACATCGAGCTCATGCTTGGAATTCCGAACAACGAGCTCGAAGATCTAGCCAACTTCCAAGAAAAAGCTGATTCATGGGTTCATGACAACCTCGTAAGCTTTGGTGACGTAAAATTCAAGTACATTGTGGTTGGAAACGAAATAAAAACATACGACCAAGCTGCTAGTTTCCTCGTACCAGCCATGCAAAATATCCAAAATGCCATTTCAGCTGTGGGTTTAGAAGGCCAAATCAAGGTATCAACCGCATTCGACACTGGAATTCTTGCAGAATCCTACCCTCCTTCAAAGGGTTCCTTCAAAACCGACTATCTTCCGATCCTTAACCCGACCATTCGCTTCCTTCTCGACAATAACGCCCCGTTGCTCGTAAACGTGTACCCGTACTTCAGTTACGTCGCAAACACGGCCGATATTTCTATGGATTATGCACTTTTTAGAGGAGCATCTCCATCTGTTGAAGATGGTCAATTTGTTTACCATAATTTGTTTGATGCCATTTTGGATGCTGTTTATTCTGCTTTGGAGAAGGCGGGCGGCGATGGGCTGGAAATTGTTGTATCGGAGACCGGTTGGCCGACGGAGGGCGGCGAGGCGGCGACGGTGGAGAATGCAAACACGTACAACAACAATTTGATTCAACATGTGAAAGAAGGGACACCCAAGAGAAGTGGAAAGCCTGTGGAAACCTATGTGTTTGCTATGTTCGATGAGAATGAGAAGACAACGCCACCGGAGGTTGAGAAACATTGGGGTTTGTTCTCTCCAAGCAAGATGCCCAAGTACGAGGTTAACTTCAACTAAATTCCTATAGTATCTTTGTCGGAATCTTTTATTTAATAATTAAAGTATTGAAATCTTCGGTTGTGTATCCAAATACATTTTTATATATATAGTGGATCGTTATTCAATTTTAGAATAAATTTGTCAGGATCTAATTTTTAAATTTGCCTGTTCGAAGCATAGATTATGATCGTGGCTAACTTGACGGTGTAAAAGTAAGAAGTAATCACAAAATAACAGTTAAGACATTCTAACCTTGGTTCACGTGTTCAAGTCAAGATAAGGAATGAAGAATAGTATCGAAAGTTATAATGGTTCACTCCAGACTCGAGATTACGTCCAAATTTTTGCACGTTCTGTTGTGATAAAGATTACAAACGGCCCTTGAATTCATACTACAAATCGACTATCAAATATCACAACTTGTTAGCATGAGATAAATAACGAACGAAAACATTCTAACTCTATGCATGAAACGCAAGATATTCACTCCCGAACCTCTCACTGGACTGCAAAAATCACATATACAAAAAAACCAACTCTTGGTAATACAAATATATATGTATTGCCTAACAAGACCTAGCCCAAAGATAGGCCAAAATAATGGCCTAATCCCAAGATTTAACAAAGAAACATTTCCATGCTCGTACCTTTGGGTTGTTTGGTGCTCAACGTCTCAATGCTACGAGTTACATAGTGTCTATCCTTCGAGTTTTAAGGACGTCTTGACGCTATTCTAGTGTCTCGAGTGCTACGCTTTTAGATCCTTTGAATTTTGCAACAGTTTTGACTACACAAAATGTAAAGCTCCATGCCAAGGATTTGGAATCCGAATTTGACACCTATTGGCCCCGACATTCCCTTGCATTCCCTGCAATATGGCCACGTACTTCTCGTTTCTTAAGAATGAAAACTATCCCCACAGATCAACACGAGTCTTCCTAACATGTTTTGTTCACACTCACATGCTATAAAATTTCAAGTAAAACACGGTTGACTATGGCGATCTTGTAATTGAGCTATGAAAACCAAAGGTGCATATTGTTGGTATAGTTAGCCACTTTTAATTTTTATTTTTTTAAACTTTTTAATAGTATTTTTTAAATAGAATTTAAGGTATTTTTATTAATTTAATTTTTTTTTATCTTATTGTTTTCAAATAATCTGATTTATTTAGTATTATTTTATTACTATTCTGATTGAAGGTTGGAACGCCATAAATGGCGTCTAATTTTATTTTTAAAAAATAAATTTCTTAATTTTATTTTAACACGTTGCCTTTTTTTTTTCCTTCTTCAAATATTATAGAATTAAAATAATTATTTAATCATGACTTATATTTTTAATATTTTAATTGCGATTACGTGTCAACTCGGGTGGGTTTTGTCTTGTTTGCGTAACTCGCGCTTGTGAGTGAGTCAAGCCGCCGAGCCAAGCCGCCGTGTCAAATCATTCGTTCTTTTAAATAAATAGATTTTATTTATTAGCTACCAAATGCAATCCCAATTTTTTAATTCAAGAAACAAATTAAAAATTAATAAATTTAAATAATAATAATAATAAAAAAATAAAACTAATAGAAGAAAAATTATAAGAAAAAAGAAAATCTATATGCTTTAAACTATTAGAGACATGTTCGAGATTGGACATGTTCGGAAGCAACACGACTAGAAAAAAGATAGGACGTTGGCCAAAGTTTCACCCGAGGACCCAAATAGGTATGGGGAAGTGAAGAAGGCTCAGACCCACATGCTCGATCTTAACTCTAGTCCTTATCTAAACAGGGTATGCCAAATGCATGTCTCGACGCGAGAGATTTTAGGGTTAGCTTAATCTAGTCCAAAACTAGATTCGGATATCTTGAGTCAAATCGTCCTAACAGTTTGAAAAGTAATGGCTTGAAAATCAGCGTTGAAATTTCAAAGGTTCATGTGATGCAAAAAAAAATTAAATTCTATAATAATTTTCATTCAAAATTATTTATTTATTTTTCTTTTAAAATTAAGTTTATTTCCTCATAATTATATATATACATAAATCTAATTTTTTTTTAAAGAATATTAAATAAAATATGGACACATAAAATATTGAAAATTTAATTAATGGCGTAAATTTTTAAATATTGATAATATTTTGAGAGTTAAAAGAAAAGTATTTTGATTTATTTAAAAATGGTATAAGAAAAAGGGCAAATAAATACAATATTAATGGTGGCCGTTGACTAAAAATAGTTTTCCAATCTTATCTTAAATAAATTATAAATTTAGGAGAGCTAAACGTAGCGTGGGACTACTGACCTAAAGATATTAGAAGCTTATGAATTTACATCCACATATTATACGGTCGTTTAAATAGTTACAGTTGTCGAAGAAAAAAAATTGTAAATTCGATGTATCAACCAATTTAAACATAGATCAATAAATAAATAAATAAATAAATATTTATTTTTGTTGAAAAGTCTGATGTTCGAGAAATCTGGAGCCGTAACTAAGACAATCGTGATATATTCAAACGAAAAGATTAAAAAAAATATATTACCTAGTTAATTAATTAATTAATTCCAGGCTAAATAAAATAAACAAATATTTTTAAAGTTTCAAAAATACATTTTGAATTTTTAAAAAAATTTCGTTTATACCCTAAAATTGTAACACCCGAGTAAAGGAGAGATACATAAATGAACCGAGGCCATATCCGAACAGAGAGGTCCTAAGGTTAAAGGAAATTGAAAGTTAGTATCTATACTAATAAAGTGTATTTTCCTTTTGCGGTAGCTTTAATCATAGGAACTCCATAGTTAAGCGTGTTTTGCTTTGAGCAAGTGACCTCTTGAAAATTTTCCTAAGATGCATTCAGTGAGAACATATCATGATGTTAGAAGGACTCGTGTTGATTTGTAGGGATAGTATCTTCACGCTTAAGAAGCTACGAGTAGTAACCTGACCCTGTCACAGGGAATGTCGAGACCATCCGATATCAAATATGAATTTCATACCCATGAACCGATCGTCAAATCCTGATATGATTTCAATTTGAATCATTAAATGGGAGATTTAGGGAGGTGGGCAAGTAGCCATTTAAGATTTGAATCATTAGTTTTATTGACTATTCCAAGTCTCCCATGAATGGAAGTCTTTAGTTTTGGGTATAAAAAGGGAAGCTTATAACCAAATATTAATATCAACATACAATATTCTTCTCCAATGGCTAACTCCTATTCCATCGTTTCCTTATGCCTTCTTGGCCTCCTTATGCCAAGCCTTCATCTAACAAGTACATCTCTCTCCCTTTCATGCATATATTTTTTTTTTCAATTCATTTCTAGTTTTTCGTTCGGTGGAACATCCCAAGTTTATCACGAGTAGATATTAGGTTTTTTCTTTTCGGGTTTCCTCTCAAGGTTTTAAAAAGCGTCTGTTCGGAGAGGTTTCCACTCTGTTATAAAAAATGTTTTTTTCTCCTCTCTAACCGATGCGGGATCTCATAATCTACCCCTTGGAGCCCGGCTTTGATACAATTTGTAATAGCCCAAACCCACCGATAACAAATATTGTTGGAGCCTAGCGTTTGATACAATTTGTAATAGCCTAAACCCAACGCTAATAAATATTGTTCTTTTTGGGCTTTCCTTCTAGGCTTTCCCTCAAGGATTTTTTAAAACGTGTATTCTAGGAAGAGGTTTCCACACCCTTATAAGGAATGGTTCATTCCCTTTTCCAATTGATGTGGGATCTCACAGTTTGGGTCGGAAAAAAATTCTATCGATTTATTTCTGCTAATGGGTACGAGGAAGGAATTCCTCGCTCTAACCCTTACCTAGATCAAACTCGGTTCTAACTAGTTGTAATTCTAGACCTGGTATCAGGATCTGTCTTAATGTTTTTCTTTTCATATTATCGTAGTATTATAAATTTTCTTCGTAATACTCGTGAGAGTGACCTAAGTATGGGGTTTGTTTTAGGTGCTCAAATTGGAGTTTGCTATGGACAAATGGGAAACAACCTACCACCTTCAAGAGAAGTGGTGGCTCTCTACAACCAAAACAACATTAGAAGAATGAGGCTCTATGGTCCCAATAGAGATTCCCTCGGCGCGCTTTCAGGCTCCAACATTGAGCTCATTCTCGACGTCCCGAACCCCGACCTACCAAAAATTGCTTCAAGCCAAGCGGAAGCCAATACATGGGTTCAAAACAACATAAGAAGCTTACCCAATGTTAGATTCAAGTACATCGCCGTTGGCAATGAAGTCCAATCCTCTAGCTCTAACGCTCAGTTTGTCGTCCCGGCCATGCGCAACATCCAAACTGCGCTTGCTAGTGTCGGCTTGGGTGGTCGAATCAAAGTTTCCACCGCCATCGACACGGGTGTCCTCGGCACATCATTCCCTCCTTCCAATGGCGCATTCAAAAGCGAAGCCATGCCACTTCTCAACCCCATCATTCGTTTCCTAATTGAAAACGGCTCTCCGTTGCTTGTCAACTTGTACCCTTACTTCAGCTACATTGGCAACATGAGGGACATCCGTTTGGACTATGCCCTCTTCACGGCGCCCTCGACAGTGGTCACCGATGGCCAGTTTCGTTACCAGAACTTGTTCGATGCAATTCTCGACGCAACTTATGCAGCATTGGAGAAGGCCGGGGGAAGAAATGTGGAGATTGTGGTGTCGGAGAGCGGGTGGCCGACAGCTGGGGGAACAGCAACGTCGATTGATAATGCAAGGACTTACATTAACAATTTGATTCAACACGTTAAGAGAGGGACTCCGAGGCGCCCTGGAAAACCGATTGAGACATATATTTTCGCCATGTTCGATGAAAACCAAAAGAATCCCGAGTTTGAGAAGCATTTTGGGCTCTTCAGTCCAAACAAACAGCTTAAATATCCAATCAACTTCAATTGAGAGATGGAAGCGAGTAATAATATTTCTATACAAAGAAATAAAAGCTTTTGAATAATCTCATGGAGATTGTAATGTTCAAAAGAACTCATATTAACCTTTTATTAATAAACTTATTATAATTAGCTGAGCTATAAATCTTAAGTATCGAGCATTCACAAGTCACAACAGATCAAAACATGAACTAACTTCATTCATATGTGTATATAAATACTACTGCGTTCAGATTGTTTGAATTGAATTGGATTTATCAACTTGAACATAGTTTAAATGATTAAGATATATATTTTCGATCGAGAGATCACAAGTTCAAATCATTCCCATAAAAAAAAAAAAAAATCAATTAGATCTAATGAAAATTCATCACCTAAACTTAATTCAAATCAAATATAGTACGGTGGATGGTAGAGATGTATGTTTTATCTGCAGGGTAGGGACCCGCCTCGAAGAAGGAGGGGATTCTCCGTTTAGACGGAGAATGAGGGAGAAAGTGAGGAAAAAAGAATTTTACGGAGATGAAGAACGAAGTAGGTTGTGGAGATGGGGAGGGGAAGGCTTCCCCGTCCCCACCCGTAGACATCTCTAGTGGGTGAAGTCAAGGAAGACAACATTAATGGTTTGTAGTGTCCTACAAATTAACTCCTTGAATGATGCTAAGTCTTTTAATAAGTTGAAGTCTTCGAACCAAAAGACTAAATTTTGCACTTATAGAAGGGAAGATAAGAGACATGAAGTAGGCGGTGGAGATGGGGACGGGGACAGCTTCCCCGTCCCCACCCGTGGACATCTCTAATAGCCTTCCCCGTCCCCACCCTTTGACAGCTCTAATGGTTGGTAATGCAAGTCTTTGAACCAAAAGACAAGGCAATTTTAACTTATAAAAGGAAAGATAGAGACATTATTGTCCTAAGCCTTTATTTTCCTTTGGTTTTGTTATCAACAATTTGCTCTATGATCTATGGCCAACTTCTATTATTCAAAACCCAAACTCCATTCATCCACCACCTTTTTATTTCTTCTTTGCCTTCTACTTGCACGCCTACAACTTTCAAGTAAGTCTTTCTCTCTCTCGAGATTTGATCTCTTAAAATTATCGAGTTTGATACATAGAATCGAAAAATACATCTAAATTTTAAGTTTTGGTTAAACAATTCTTGAATATCGAACGGTTAGAGTTATAACGAGACTTACCGAATTTGATTCAGGTGCTAATCAGACATTCCCAACAAAAGTGAACCATAGTTATAGTCAAAGCAACATCCAAAGAATTCGACTTGACAATCCGACCCTTGGCTTTCTTGTGGAAAAGAAATTGTCATTGCTACTCAATTTGTACCCTTACTTGAGTTATATCAACACCCATAACATGCCTCTCAATTATGCACTTTTACAAGGACGTCGGCTATTGTTCATGGCAAATTTGTTTACCAAAATATGTTCCATGACTTTTTGGATGCTGTTTATTCTGTGTTGGACGAGTCCAATGGTGAAGAGGACTTTGTATCGGATAGTCGTTGGCTAACCGACGTTGTAGTAGAATTGTTTCAAGCAAATTTTCAAGAAGTTGCTAACATAAAACTATTCCAAGCAAAACACGCTGAACTACGGAGTTGTTATGATTGACCCACCAAAAAGAAGGTGCATCTTATCTTATTAATAATCACTTTCAATTCTGGTAAGTCTTTTTTAGTTATTCTATCCTCAAAGTCTTTATCATTTGAATATAGTATCGATTTACTCATATACTCCAAGTGTCACAACTTAGTATTTGGATAATAATTTGCAACAATCACATGATGGAAATAAAATTTACTTTGTTAAGCTTGATCATAGTTTCAGCTCTTAAGTAAAGTTCATGTAACAAGATTAAGAAAGCTAAAGGAAAATGTGAGATCCTACATCGATTGGAGAGAAGAACGAGTGCCAGCAATGACGCTGGACCCTAAACAGGAGTGGATTGTGAGATCCCTCATCAGTTAGGAGAAGAATGAAGCATTCTTTATAACGGCATGAAAACCTCTCCTTAGTAGATGTGTTTTTAAAACGGGAAAGAATCTAAAAAAGAAAAGCTCCCAGGGTGAGCATACCCTCACCTAGCTCACTAACCCATCACTTCAAGAATCTTCTCTAAACAATGCATAATATTAGGAGTTATGTGGGCTTATCCTTTAATAATCTCTCGACATAGACCACGAGACATCTGTCAAGAGAGAATACGTGAGTTAGAAGGCAAGGGTTTTTGATATACAGAAGAAGTAAGGAAAGGGAAGAAAAGGGCTAAATTTAAAGAGAAGCGGTGGAGTAGAAACCCGCCACGTTTAACTTGGTGGCAGGCTTCTGCAGGCATTCCTTTTCCTCTGCACAATCCACCACCGCCTTCCCTTGCATTCTCTTCAACAGCAGCTATTCTCTCTCCCTCTCTCTCTATCCGCCATGGAAGAAGAGCTTGTTTGATTATGGCCGATGAACCACCTGAGTTCATCAGGTTTTGTTTATTTTTCTTCATGTCTTAGCTTTTAGGATCTTTGATGTCAAGATTATGGATAAAAGTTTTCTTTGATTTGTCAGGATGGAGGGCTATCGCAGCATAGACTGGAATATGGAAGAACAACTATCCTCCGGTGATGGCCTGAGCAGTGAAAAGATATGCTCCGCCGTGCAAAAGGGTTGCAGTCTGGGGAAGAAGCTTCTCCTCACTGGTTTAGCCATATCCTCTGTTCCTGTGGTTCTTCCTCCATTGGTTATCATGTCAGCCTTTGGAATTGCAGCCTCAATACCCTATGGGGTTTTCCTCGCCTCTTATGCTTGTACTGAGACGATCATGAGTGTTTGGCTTCCGATTCCCCCGGCCCTGAAGCTCGACCGCGCTGACGAAGAGATTGTGGAGGAAGACATCTATGAAGATGAAGAAAAGCATATGATGGAAACAGCTAAGAGGGGTGAGAATTTGGATGATTTTGATATCGATGTGGTAGTAGTTCAGGGGGACGAAGAAAGCGAAACCGACATTGGAAGCAAAGGTCTGGCAGCAATTGAAGTGACCAATGTGGAATTTGAAGGAAATGGAGATATTGGAGATGAGGAAGAAGAGGAAGAAGAGTTGAAGGAAACTAGAGGTTTACTCGAAAGAATCAGGGATGAGGGACGAAGAGACAACGGTTTTGTTGATGAAAATGGAGGTGTTGAGGATGTTCGAGAGCTCGAGATTTCAATGGAGGACGAGAAACCAAGTGATTCTGTTGAAAAAAGTGTTCTAGGTTTGTTGAATGAAGTTGACTCTGCTGCTGTTTATCCTCATGAACACTACAGAACTTCTGAAGGTAATTCATTTCTTTTGTTTATAAGTTAAGAGTTAGAATTCAAGCCTATGTTTAGAACGCGAATCGGTTTATTATTCCTAGTTACGAGTTTGCTAATAACTCACGATATCTCTTTTCGGGTTGAGAGTTTGAATATCTAACCTTTGTCATCGGAATTAAAGGGGTCGGGTCGGCGAAATCTAGTGATGAAACAAATGCAATAACGACATTGACAAACAAGGCTGCCAAGTCTGAAGAAGCTGAGCAACTTCCTAAAGTAACAATGATTGATGTGATTGAATCTGATGAAGGTTTGTCTATATCAGAGGTGACTATTGAACACAAAGTTGAGGCAAATTTTCCACATAAAGATCATAGGACGTCTTCCAATGAGGTCAGTACATAATGTAAAGACATCGATTAAATCCGAATACCATGGCCTTGTTTCCTTCGTTCTTCGTTTACCGATCGAGCTAATGAATATGACTAACAAGTACTGAGTTTTAATTGATATCTGTTCTTGGCATCAACTTTGGCATACTCACTTTCTTGGGCTTGGATTGAATGTTTGAAATTCCTGAGTTTTCCCTTTTCTTTTTGCAAGGAACTATCAGGAGAGGTAAAGATAAGAGAAAAGATTGCTTCGATGAAGAAGATCGTAGGATACAAGGCTACCCCCCTCGGAACATACTTAGACGAAGTGAACGCTCTATATGCCTTCATCGGAGTCGAGCCACCTTCCCCGATGAAAGATTCTGCTAATGATGATGATATCAATCTACTTAACCAGAAGTTGCAGTTTCTCATGTCCATAGTAGGGGTCAAGTAGGGGTGTTAAAAGTTTGGCATTGAATAAGTTGCCATTTGTGCACTTTTGTTTGCCAATGGCAATATTTCCTTATGTTTGAGCTATGCACAGTTTGGTTTTGAAATTATGTACCAAATTTTGAACAGTTTATCTACTTTTTTCCCTCTTTCTGTTCAGTTCTTTTCATCCACAAGGGTTCTTGAATCACTCATGGGTGTTAGGAAGTGAAAAATCCAAGAGATCTATGAAATTTATAGCTTAAATGATGAAGAGTGATCGGACAAAATTGTAGAACATTCAATAACTGAAGTGAGAATCAAAGATTCAGAGTGATGAAAAAGAACACAAAACTTCAAATCATGAACTATTATTAGTGTTATGAGAGGCACCTGAGTCTTGCAAATGTTAGATAACCAGTGTGACCTCTGGCCTCACTACATGGCCTAACCATGACCGTACTCGAATCACCGTTCGTGTCGTTAGCTTCCTTTGATCTCACCCGCTTCTTGCACGGTGGAAGCTCGACAGAACCACCTCCTTCAACCTGGCTGCTCTCTGTTTTACCTTCTCGAACCTCGTAAGTCCGAAGCAATACCTCAAATGTTCTTATATCTACACAAAAGGGATGACAACGACGACGACAATAGTGAATAATACATATCAACATATCTATAGGAATGAAGGTATATAAATGGGTCATTCCGAACAACCTGTAAACTTAGATCGTAGAGTTTCGGCCGACCGTTGAACTTGCTCGATACATGGAGAGAACGAGCATAATACGCCGTCTTGTTTCAGCATTCTCTCAGCTGAAGGAATGGCCAACCAAGGTTGAGGTAGATCCAAGAAAACTGAATCTGCCAATCCAACAAACTCTTCAGGGAAGCCCTGACCTTGAACATCTCTAACTCCCACAGTGACTAAGCTGGTCAAGCCAGTCTTCTCAAAATCCTCTCTGAAAAAAGAGGGAGACAAGCAAATCATCATAGAACACAATTACTCAGCAGGGTATAACTTGACAACATATAACAGATCCCGGTTCCTACCTCGCCGAGGCAGCTCTCTGTTCATGAAAATCAAACGTATAGACGTGTCCGGTAGGCGCTACAGCCCTAGCTAAAGACGTCGTCAAAGATCCACTGCCAGTCCCTGATTCTAGAATCAAACAACCAGGAACTATCTCTAAGAACATAATTACAAAACTAATGTCCGCAATGTATAGAATCTGTGTCCTGTGGCTTAGAACCAAAGTCCATAATTCAGGAGTTGGGGCTAATAGGTAAACAAAGCCACCTTTGTTACTCAACACCTTGGACCCAAATGGCTTTCCAATCCAATCAGAATGTTTAAACATACCAAACCTATTCTGAAATGTTGAATTTTCACATACTTTCACAGCCTTCATGACATCATGTCTCTCATAAACAATGACTAAATCTCCATCCCTTATAGAACGAGTGAAAGATATCTTCTTCAAGTCATCAGTTGGCAACATCCTTGATCTTCAAAAGTTCATAAAGAATCAAGAATACCAGATTCTGTCAAAATTTAGGGGAAAAACAGCAACCAAATAAAAAATAGATCCATAATAATCACATATAATTGAAAAATCGAAACAGTTTCAAGTTCTCTCTCGCTCTCTACACTCTTTCGAAGAATCATTGAAGAATCCCATAAAGATTTTGCAAGAACTATCATATAATTCAAGAAAAAGGTGAAACCGCTTGAAACTATATCAAATCGATGCAGAAAGTATCAGAGCGTTGCAAGTGTAAAATGAAGCAGGGCCAATCGAAACACGGTAAGGAATCAGTCGGCAGATAAATTAAACAATTACTGCAAAATTCTAGTGTGCTCCAACATTGAAATAAAGGAATACCTAAAGATTGAAAGTTTGGTTTGGCGTTTAGCTGCTACAGAGGGAACGCAATCGTCGGAGGGGAGGAAGTCGGAAGCTGGCGGCGGCGGTTTACTGGTACTGGAAGAAAATAAAGCGGAGAAGACCTAAGCGAAGAAGAAGAAAGGCAAAGGTAAATTTCCCAACAAATTAATTTTTTTTTACAAAAAAAAAAAAAAAGAAATAATGGATTTAAATTGGTATAATAAATTTCTAAAATTTTAATTTTGATGATTTTAAAAATATTTAAATTTATTTCTCGACCCCTATTTCAATTTCACTCTTGTAGCAACGATACAGCGATGATGCAAATAACCCAGCGAACAAGTTAATCCGTCTGAAATTCACACTTTGCAGACAATAACGACGTATGTTCGAGCATCGAGTTACATTTGAGAGAAATATTTTAGAAAACATGAGCGTTCTCTTACCGCTCTTAAAAATAACTTTTTCAAATATATATTGAAAATAAATGATAAATTTTAATTAAATGTGTAAAAATTAATAAAAAAAATGTTTTACGGACTAATATTTTACTTTTATTATAATAAAAATTTGAATAACGATCTATAACGATCCAGATCAATCGCGTAAATATTGTCCTTGCTGGCACTTTTCCTTCCTTCAATCGATGTGGGATCACTCCCAAATCCACTCCCCTTTGGGGCCCAGCGTCCTTACTGACACACCGCCTCGTGTCTACCCCCTTCGAAGAAGAGCGAAAACGCTGGCACATCGTCCGGAACCTGACTCTAATACCATTTGTAACGACCCAGATCCACCGCTAGTAGATATTGTTCTCTTTGGACTTTCTCTTTCGAGTTTCCCCTCAAGGTTTTTAAACGCGTATGCTAGAGGAAGGTTTCCACACCCATAAATCATGGCTTGTTCTCCTCCTCAACCAATGTGGGACATCACACAATCTGACCCGACCCAACCCACAAACACCTTAAGTCATAGTATTTCAACCGTATTTATAGTATTACACGTCTATTTAATATCTCATCATTAAAGAGCACGGGTCACAACATTTTTAAAATTCTTGTTATAAAATGTATTTTTTTAACCCGAACAACAATAAGATCCATTATTTTCGATTAAGACTAAATTTTAGCACCCGACTATTAAAATAATTTATGGATCAGTCTCTAATTTATTTATCATGATTGGATTAATGTGTCAGCTATACTATAACTCACAATTTTTCCCAATATGGTTAAATTCACATATTTTAATTATTTATATTATTTATGATACAACTCACTTACCATGTTCATTAAAATTTCAAATTGAATTTCACACCCAATTTACCAAAATTTGAATACGAAAGGATTCCAGCGATTATATGATTTAATCGGTCGGGTTATATCGATGTAAAAGACACTGATTAGTCATTTTTAAGAAAAATAAAATCATGTCATTTATGTCGGATGTTTTTTTAAAATATTACTAGAGGTGTCTATTTAATCCGTGGAGTCGGGTAGAGAATCCCCGTTTAAACAGAGAATATAAGTAACAGGAGAGCTTTTTTTTCTCGTTAGCTAAACGGAATCGGAGATACAGATTATATTTCCTATCATTGTCTTAACCTCATTTTATATCTATCTTTAGACATTACATTTCAAAATTTTGACACGAGATAATATGTATTGAACTTTTGAATAATTAATGATTAATGTATCGTGGAGCATCCGTTTGATGTTTGAATGACACCATATTTTAGATTTGACGAACTTGAAACAAGTACCGCATACCCAAAATTCCCTTAAGAACCCCGACTTTCAAGGTTAAGGCTCGACGTCCTACCCAACCCTTCAACAAACCCATCTTTTACCCTCTTGTCTACCCGTTACCCGTATCTTGCTTATACCTCTTATTGGCTTTCATGCACTCGATCGTATCATGACACTCATTTATCTTAGCCTTCAAGTGGTTGAATAGGCACCACTTAAGGGTCACCGCTTTACTTGTCTCTACATGAGAGTCACAACCTATCCTTTCCACGGTATGGTTTGATTTTTTTTTTTTTTTTTCGAAAATGAAACTACACGTTAATTATCGTTCTAGATTTTCGTTATTTTTTAATATATATTAAAATTAATAAAATAATTTTGGGATTGATTGATCTAACGGCGGACAATCCATTACAGATTTAGAATTATTAAAGAAGTCAAATATTTAACAGAAATAATAAATTTTATAATATTTATTAAATTAAATACGTTGTATTATTGGATAAACTAAAACTAATTCACATCCATATTAATTACCAACCAAATATTAATGAAAATAAAATAATTATCTTGCTGTCCTAACCCAACTTCATCCTTTGCTGGAAATTTAATTTTTAATTTAATTTTTTTAAAAAAATAAAATATATTTCTTATATATTCTCATTTTCCTTTCAAGTTTTAAAAAATAATTGGAGAAAAATAAAAAAGCTTGAGAAACTGGTACGAATTTCTCTCTTCTTCTTTTTATTATTATTATTTTTTATTATTAATATATATTATTATTTTTAAAAAAGTTTATCCCTTAGGTTAAACATGATTAATTACTAATTACTATTTACTAATCATTCACTTTGCTCTATTTATTTTTAATAATAATTTAGGTATTATTCGTTATATTTAATAGAAGAAAAGTTGGATATTGTTTATTTTGTTCTTTCCTTTTTTTTGAAATTTTGTGTTAGCCATCCAAATTATATTTTAAAAATAAATATTTTAAGTTTTTTTTATTTTTTTATTTTTTTATTTTTAGTATTTTTAGTACCGGATGGCTCTGGCATTCTCCTGTGTCATGGTTACGTTACGGAATTTGAATTTGGCTCTACAGACCAATACGAGTCTTTCCAGCATGTTTTGCTCTCACTCACAAGAATTCTAGGAAAAATTTTATAATTGAGCCAACCGAAAAAGGAGGTGTATTTTGTTAATATAAACAGTCATCATATTCGTAGAGTCACTCCCGTTCGGATATAGTCTTAACTCCTTTTACTCGGGTGTCACATTAACACTCCATAAGTACGAAGTAATTAAAAATAGATCTATAAAGAAATATAGACTAAATTAATAAACATACCGGTCTAAAAAATATCCTTAAAATTTCCAAAGTTTCAATTAAAAATACATTTAATTTTTTTTAAAAAATTATAAATATTTTTATTTAAATTTTAAAAATACTATATATGGTATTAAAGTAGTTACCTATTATAGTTAATAAATAAATAAATATTAAAATTTATTATTATTATTATTGGAAAATATTTCAGAAAAATTATTCCAAATTAAGAGCTGATATGGCAAATGAAGAAGGTGATCCTATGGTGAGATTCACTAGGGAGACTATGCAACATGAAGTGGTAATTATCTCTACACCCTTTATTATTATTTTTTTTTATATTCTAAATGAGCCCGTCACGTTCATTATCACTTTCGACTCGTGGAAATTAATTATTATCATTATTTCGATATTTTTATAACGGCTAATAGTTTAATGATATTGTTGTTTGAATTTGGAGGAGCATTTGGAGGAAGGAGAATCGTCTTCTACATCAGCTACTAATTTAGTTATCGATACGATAAAATCGAACGCATTTGAAACTGACCAGGCTGAAGCTCAATCGACAACTTTAGTACTTCCCTCGTAAGTGTATTTCTATCCCTACCTATCTCCAACTTAAAAACGCTATCAAATGAAATGATGAGTTATTGTTCCTGCATGCAATTAATACTTCATCTTTAACACACCATTATCAAAACGCTATCAAATGAAATGGTGAGTATCATTTATGCATGTAACCAATACTTAATCATTAACGCATTGTTATCAAATGAAATGGTGAGTATCATTTATGCATGTAACTAATACTCAATCGTTAACGCACGGTTATCAAATGAAATGGTGAGTATCATTTATGCATGTAACTAATACTCAACCGTTAACACTGTTATCAAAACACTATCTAATGAAATGGTGAGTATCATTTATGCATATAACCAATATTCAATCGTTAACACACTGTTATCAAAACGCTATCAAATAAAATGGTGAGTATCGTTTATGCATGCAACTAATACTCATTGTTAACATACTATTATCAAAATGCTATCAAAACGCTACCACATGCATGAAACGTGTATCTTGATAGTGTGCATGAAATGTAAGGTTAATTAGATTTATAGGTCTGAAGCAGGAAGGGGGAGTTTAATGAGTGAGGATAATGCATACAATAATGGGGGCCAACAGGCAGGACTGGGTGCTGGGAGTTCATATTGGGGTATCAATGGGTATCAGTTTGCAGCAACCAATATGGGCTCTGAGCACTTCCCTTTGGCTGTGGCTGCTACTACTCCCACTGCCATCCACCTCTCCAACACTCAGGTTAGTCCATGTTCCTTGTTCAACTCCTTTGTGTTCTTGATCTCTAGACTAAATGGATATATGAACTCTGCAGGAGGGTATGGCTGGTGGGAACAATCAATACCCATCAGAGTTCTTACAAACGCCATCGATTGAACAATGGTATCCACTCAACAAGATTGATATCCAACAACAACCTTCCTCTAATCCATTTAGGTATGTTCCAATTTGAAAATGTATTTAGAATAAAACAATATTGTGACATCCGCATCGGTCGGAAGGAGGAATGAAGCATTTCTTATAAGGGTGTGGAAACCTCTCCCTAGTAGATGTGTTTTTAAAAAACTTGAGGGGAAGTTCTAAAGGAAAAGTTCAAAGAGGACAATTAGTGGTGGGTAGTGTGCCACCAAGAACGCTGGCCCCCCAAGGGGGTGGATTGTGAGATCTCACATCGGTTGAAAAACAGAACCAAGCATTCCTTATAAGGGTGTGCAAACCTCTCCTTAGTAGATGCGTTTTAAAAACATTGAGGGGAACCTCGAAAGGGAAAGTTCAAAGAGGACAATATCTCCTAGCGGTGAGCTTGAGTTGTTACAAATAGTATCAGAGCCAGACATCGGGCGGTGTGCCAGCGAGAACGCTGGCCCCCAAGGGGTGGATTGTGAGATCTCACATCGGTTGGAAAAGGGAATTAAACATTTCTTATAAGGGTGTGGAAACCTTTCCTTAGTAGATGCGTGTTAAAAACCTTGAGAGGAAAC